GAATAGGCTTCCCAAAGAGGTGGTGCTCTCACCTTCCCTGGAAATCTTCAAGAGGAGACTGGATAGGCACCTGACTGGGATCTTATGACCTCTGCCACCCCCAGTGCTCCTTCCTGCCCATGGCAGGGGGTCAGACTAGATGATCTGTCTATGTCCTTTCCAACTCAGTGATTCTATGATTCTATGAAAGCCAAGGCATGCATGGAAGTCAAGCCGGCAACTGAAATTAAAGACAAGAAATCCTTCTATAGGTACATAGGGAGCAAGAAAAAATCAAGCTCTACTGTGGCCCCCCTACTGAATATGGAGGGGAAGCCCACAGTTGACCCATGTGAAAAGGCAGAACCCCTTAATTCTTACTTTGCATCAGTATTCCTGAAACCAAGCAAGAACTTGTCACCTATCCAGAGGTGCAGAGCACCATGCAGAGCACGGTGATGACAGCATTCTACAGAAAAACAGGCCCAAACAGGTGAAGATACTCTTAGATCATTTGGGTGTTTTCAAGTCAGCTGGGCCAGAAAACCTGCATTCAAGAGTGCTGAAAGAACTGGCCAAGCAGTGCCTCTGGAGAGGCTGGTCAAAGAGTCGTGGAATTCAGGAGTAGTCTCGAATGACTGGAAGAAGGTTAACAGAGTGCCCATCTTTAAGAAAGGAAAGAGGGATGAGCCTGCTAACTACAGACCAGTCAGTCTGATTTTGGTCCTAGGAAAAATCTTTGAAAAAGTTGTCAAGGAGGCCATGAACCACAAGCTCACAACTGGTGGAGTACTGAGAAACAACGAGCATGACTTTGTCAAGGGGAGGTCATGCCTAACAAACCTGGTGTCCTTTTATGACCAAGTAACTAACCAGCTAGCCCTGAGACAGGAGAAATCTACATAGATTTCAGCAAGGCCTTTGATACTGTTTCCCATGAAATCTTCTCAGTTAAGTTGGAGAGTACAGGCCTACATCAGGCTACAGCGAGGTAGGTTGGCAACTGGCTCAGCAGCCGATCCCAGTGAGTGGTAATTGATGGGGTGGCCTCATCCTGGAGGGCCATCTCCAGTGGTGTCCCCCAGGGATCAGTGCTTGGGCCCGTGCTCTTTAACATCTTTATCAATGACCTGGATGAGGGAGTGAAAAGTGCAGTGATTAAGTTTGCGGATGACACCAAGCTGTGGGGACAAGCGGGCACATCTGAGGACAGAACAAGGATCCAGGACAACCTTGACAGGCTGGTCCTCTGCGCTGAACACAATCAGATGAGGATCAACAGGAACAAGTGCCAGGATCTTCATCTGGGTAGGAAGAACTCTCATCATATCTATATAATGATGATGGTGCATTGGCTGGCACTGCATCTGAATGGGACCTGGGGGTGACAATTGACCAGAAGATGAACATGAGCCAACAGTGCGATTAAGTTGCCAGCAGGACAAATAGAACTCTGGTGTGCATCAGCCAATGTGTTGCCAATAGATCCAGAGAGGTGCTCCTCCCCCTCTATTCAGCATTGATGAGGACACAGCTGGAGTACTGTGTCCAGTTCTGGGCACTGCACTTCAAGAAGGATGTAGACAAGCTTGAAAGGTTGCAAAGAAGGGGCACCCACATAATCAAGGGCCTGAGGGATAGGCCCAATGAGGAGAGACTTCAGGACCTGGGTTTGTTCAGTCTGAGTAGAAGAAGGCTGAGGGGTGACTTAATAGCTGCCTACAAATATGTCAGGGGAGAACACCAAGATCTAGGAGAGCAACTTTTCAGAAAAGCACCCCTGGGGAGGACGAGGTCCAGTGGGCACAAGCTAGTCGAGGAAAAATTGAGACTGAACATAAGAAAAACTTCTTTTCTGTAAAGGTAACTTGAATCTTGAACACACTTCCAACAGAGGTGGTGCAGTCGCCATCCCAGGCGGTGTTCAAGAGGAGGCTGGACAACCACCTCGTTGAGCTCATTTGAGCCCAATTACCTCCTGCCCATGGCAGGGGACAGGGCTTGATGATCTTACAGGTCCCTTCCAGTCCTTCAATTCTATGATTCTTCTCACCATTCGTTAGTTTGTAAACTTCTGTTATATCTACTTCCCTCTCAGTTGTATTTTCTCTAAAAAATGTCTCTCGCCTATTTAATCTCTCCTTGTATGGAAGCCTTTCTATTCCCTTGGTCACCCTGGTTGCCATGGGTGACTGGTGCCTCCCAAGTCTGGGGAGCCACCAGATTGCTGATGGGGTGGGGGTAGCCCCTGGGATTCCCCCCAGTGGCTGATCGCTGAGCCAGCAGCAAAACTGGCAAAACCAGAAGTGCACTTCTGGTGGCACTTCCAGTTTCACAGCTGGCACTTCCAGAGGTGCACAACTGATCTCAGGGGGTTGACCATTCACATACTGAAGTCAGTGTTTATGGTATCATGGCTTTAGATATTATTAGCAAATCGTATGTCAGAACATCAGTTTTAAAATATTGTTCTTCTCAGGTGGCAAAAAACAATACAGAGTTTCTGTAGCAGTTTCCCATCTGAGAGGAAGGATTAGAGAGGTGATTGTGGTTTCTAGCACTTATTGCAGTGTGATTTTTTTTTGTGTGTGCAGATTGCCTATGATTTTCTCACTCTGTTAGTATGCATGTCCCAGTATGCACAGCAGTAATGCTGGCATCCATTTTCTTTGCACTGTTTGGAAAATACATCAGGACTTTTGAGAATCTTGCCCTAAGGGCAAACCTGTTTTGCAGAGATAGGTCCTCCACAGAAGATTCTCCCAATGTGAAGTACAGAACATTTTGGAGTTCCATTAGGGCTCTAATGATACCAGTGTATAATGGTATTGTCAATACCTCGAGAGTTGCCAGTAATATCACAGTTCATACATGCACTCCTGCCTTCTCCTCTGAACTCTGGACTTTGGGTGACAGTAACTTCTGCGTGTTCATCTAGAAAAAAGGGAACAGAGATTACACCACAAAACTGAAAGGGAATGACTGAGGCACTGTGGTACGTGGCCTGCGTAACAACGGGGGTACTTAGCTAGTGCTTTCCAAGCAGAGGTTTCCAAAGCCCTTAATAAAGGAAAAGGATCCTTATCCCCCTTTTACAGTGGGGAAAATAGATTGCTGGCACTGCAAAAAGGAAAGCATTGCACAAAGAGAAGCAAGTGACCCCCACTTCCACAGGGGCAAAACTGGGAACAGAGCACAGGTTTCTGAGTCCCAGGCTAGTACTCCATCAAGCCAAACTGGGTCATCAAGCTAATATTCCCTCAATCACAATTACCACTGCAGTCCGGGCTGCAGGAGTCTAGCACTGATTTCATTCAAGACTGGAACGAGGCCTTCTTTGCTCAGTAATGAGCACCAGTTGAAAAGGGCATCATGGAAAAAATGACTTACAAGACCAAACTGTAGTCACTAAAAGAGCCTGCAGCAGTAACATCTTGAGTAATTGGGTAGAAGCTATAAGGGAGAAACAGGAATATGAAACAAAGCCTTAGACAGAAAGAGGGAGGAAGTGACTTCTTTAAGCAGCATCCAATGGTGGTTCTGGCTGCAGGCATGTAGGGCTACATTTTTGGCAAGGTTAAACTGTGTGTAGATGACAGATCTGATTCCACTGCCCTGTCTCAGATCTAGAACAGGTCTGCTGCCAAGTGTTCAGTGCACCCTGTGCTAGTATAGCCCCCTAATGATATGCCATGAACTGATCTTATTCTGCCTTTCTATAAACGCCACCTATTTGCTAAGTCATTGCACAACATATTGCTTCAATTGGGTCAAGTAAAACGTTGTCACCAGATTGCAGTTTCCATCCATCAAACACATCATATCATCATATAATATATTGTTATCACTTAGGTAAGGTTTGGTATAAGTACATATTGGTCTTTGTAAGAATGATTATAATGCCATGTCCAGAATTCATCTGTAGATTGACAGGATCCTACAACATTTTTGTATTAGAAATGTCAATGTGATCTTTTATTGTGTTCTAGTCAGAACTACTCCCTGCAGAGAATTTTTCTACTTGAGCAAAATGGAAGAACTTTCTTTAGTTTTCTTCCTGTGACTGCTTTTCTGAGCACACATCCACTATTATCAGCTCTAGAGGTTCTTGTCTGTTGATACACTAGTAAGTGTGCACACATAGCAAGCCTCAGTTTCCCAGACAGAGTAACTGAACATTGCTGCCCAATTGAACTAATAGTCTCCTTTTATGGTCTAGGCAGGTGGGATCCCATTGTTTATTTAGTAATTGTCTGCCAAAGGAGCTATGTGGGATGTTGTCTTTTCTTGTCTGATGGGACAAGCTAGGGAGGAATATATGGAGCTGATTCCAAGCTGAAGAGCTTAGTAAGGGATGCAGGCATGGTTTCAAATATTTGACAGCCCATGGTTTAGAATACAAAGAAGGTTTTTGTACAGCTGCTCAATGCTTTGCTAACAATGTGCATCATCCCAAGAGGCACAGTAATACATAACTGCATCATCTGTACTTATGTCATCTATTGTCAGAGAATAAACGTTCTTACTAGAGTCCTGTTTTGCTGAAAACTTTTTATCAGACTCCTTGTCGTAGACAACTCTTCCTGCTGACCAGTACAGAATCCGCTCTGGACCTTCCCCAGGCTTGTGTCGATACCAATGTATAACAGTGGTAGTCCCCGTAACCTGGCATTTAATAATAGCAGTTTTAGTGTTTCCCCTGGTTTTGGAGGGTTCCGATTGTGTCAGCTCCAGAGCATCTCCATCTACAAAAAGAGGAAGAGACAAAGATGTCATGAGTATGAAACTGAATGAAGTTGAAGGATCTCAAATTATTGTCCGTTGCTGTTTCTCCTGTAAAGGGCCAACTTACAAGAGCAAATTAACGAAGCGAGAAAAATAACCTGCAGTGGAAACATGATAGCTAAATTATGGTGCTCCTGGCTCTGAGACCCAGTAGAAGAGGATTCCAAATCTGAAACAGAGTGGTGCACTTGGAGAGAGGAAGTGAGTGACTCATGTGCTAAGTAGCCAATGGTAGCTCTCCTGGCCTTGTATGAGCTATTGAAAGGCAATTTAGATGTATTCTTGCTCTGTGTAAGAATTTAGAAGGTGGGACTTTTCACTGATTTAATTATTATGTTTTGAAGGGAAAGGGGACGGTTTGGCTGTAGGTTAGGGTCCAGGTGTGGATTTGGGGATTGTGTGGGGGAAGGAGGAAAAAAGGGATGTGGCAAGTGGTTATGTGAATGTAAATGTAACTCAGTGAAATGTTTGGGAACTGTTTGGTCACTGTCAAACTGTACAACCAAATAACTATATATAGAGATTTCCTTTATTTTTTATAAAAATAAATATGATTAGAATGCCACAAGGGACAGTTGTTTGTCATCTAATCTCACTTCCTACATGACCATAAGATTTCCATGAATTAATTTTTGATGGAAATAAAGCAAAACTTTTGGGGAAAGAAACATTCATTCTTGATTGGAAAATGGCCGGCACTAGAGAATGCCACACCATACCTGGTAAGTTTTAGATTGCCTAGACCTAGAGAATTTGTAGAATCTCTATCACTAGAGGTTTTCAAGAAGAGATTAGATAATCATTGGTCATAGATGATCTAGGAGTAGCTATGCCTGAAGTGTTCTGTAAAGAGTAATAGTTGGAAGCTGAGGAATTCCCCGCTCCACTCTACACACTTGCAGCAGAATCATAGAATCGTAGAGAAGTAGGGCTGGAAGGGACCTCTAGACATCATGTAGTCCAACCACCTGCCTGAGGCAGGATCACCCCTATCCAAATCGTGCTATACAAATCTGTCATCTAACCTATTATCAAAATTACACAATCACCCATGCCATACAACCATAAAGCACAGTGCCCTAATCTGCCACAGGTAAAAAAAGAGGACAACAGTGGCCAATGTCCTGCTATTCCAAGAATTGTTAAGATTTGCTCAAGAGATCCAAGGAAGAGGGACATGGCCACTTCTACTCCCTCTCATGCATGCCAAAGCTGGCGATTCATCACTGAAGCCACTTTAGAAACATCAATGACTCTGAAGTGTCTCTGGTGTGCTTGAAATATATTCAGGGAGGAGGACATATCAGAGTTGCTTCCGCAGGGGAGTTGAGAGGCTAGGGTAGAAGCTGGTAAAGGAATACTGGATGGCTTAAAATAATGAATTTTTTTTGTTTTTCAGGAACATCCTAATTAGCCATTGTACATCCTGCATGTGGTGGGAGAGGCAGGCTTCTGCTTCCTTGTATTCACCCCAAGGATCCAAGAGCCATTGACAAATACTTTGCTAAACTGCCTTGGTGTGTAGAACTCGGATGAAAGCAGGAATGTGTTTGGCATAATACTAATCCTCATAAGAGGACAGTGATAGACTATTTATTCTTTGTGTTCACAGGGGAAAGGATGAAGACCAATGACCTCAACTTACAGCAAAGGAATTTTAGATTGGATATTGGGAAGAAATTCTTCGCTATAAGAATAGTAAAGCAGCAGAATAGGTTGCCTACAAAGGTGGTGGAATCTGCACCCTTGGAAGCTTTTGAGAATATATTAGAGAACCCTTGCCTAGGAGGGTTTGGATAGGGACAATGCTGCTGCGAGAAGGGGGCTGGGTTAGATGACCTCCTGAGGTCCCTTCCAACTCTACTTCTTTATTATTCTATGAATCGAGTGATGTCAGTGGGCTAACTACTCTGTGTTGTGGTGCCCTCTGCTGAAAGAGTGTAGACTCAACTCTTAAGTATCCTGTTTTGTCCTATTGCTCAGAAGGGCCAATTATGCAACAAGATATTTTGCAAAATTACTCTTTTCCTTCCTCTTCAGTGGTATTTTTTATACCTTTGTGATGAGAATACCTTTTCTCTACCATGTTTTTTCCTGTAGTGCAGTGTCATTAGTTTGCTTATGTGTTTTTCTGCCTTTAGTCAGTCAGCCAGGTCTCTATACTCTGCCTTCTTACAGGTATTTGTAGCCATGCAAATCTTCTGCCAGTTCTTTATAACCATGTGGATAAATGGAATTAAGCGCTGAAGACTTCTCATAGGTAAGACTCTCTGAGGATCCTCAATATTCTAGTTTAGAGCTCTCCAACTGGCAGCCCATGGGCCACATGCAGTTAAAGGGTTAACACAAGAGTCCTGCCCAGCCACAACTACCCGTTTCTCCTGCTGCAGTGGTTGCTGGGATGGTTAGGTTCCCCATCTTTCTTCTAACAGTCATATAAAAGTGTGCTGTCAAGTTGGTATTCTAGTCTATAGTGATCTAGTATCCAGTATCCACAGTTGTGATGGTAGAGCAGGACTTTGTAAACGCTGGACTGCAGAAGCACCAGGCACCAGATTTAACAGAAGGGAACCATTCTGTCTTCTGTGCTTTCATTCCAGGCACTGGGGTCCAGGAAGCAAGAGAAAAGAGACAGACTTAGAATGCAAAACAGTGAGTCATTCAGCTGGGGGTACTACAGGAGGCAGAGGGAAAGAGGCAGGAGAATGGGAAGGGGGACAATCGCTGGAATTTAGGGGAAGCAGTTGTAGACAGGGAATGGTGTGGCAGGAAATGGTAGGGTGGGGTGATCCAAAAGGAACTGAAAGAACTAGAGGATATGAAGAGGGAGACAAAGGACCAGGAAATAGAAGCTGAGCAGCAGGAAGGCAGGAGTTGGGGAAGTCATGTCATGGGGAGTATGGGTAGATCCTTCCCTCTGTCACAGAATTCCTCTGTTAGCTGGGCAAGTCACTTAAAATATTTATAGCCAGCCACCAGTTGGAGAGTCCTCTTTCCTGGGGTTGTCTCCTGGTTCACATTACAGAAAAGCTGAGTGCTCACAAGAAAGGTTGATATGTGTCCTGGAAGTGCTACGACTCGTGGACATTCTTGACAATGTGGTCCTTCATTTTGCTCCTTGGCCTCAGTTCTTTTATGGTAATAATGGGTGCATCTACACATCACCCTATGGCAACATAGCACCCCATGGCAACATAGTGCCATGCTTTAGTACTTCCAAGAGGAAGTGCTAAAGCACAGTGATGTGTGGACATGCCCAGTGAGGATAAAATTTGTGGCTGATTTCAGAGGGGTGCTTTAAGATAAATTTACTACTGCTTGTGAAGCATTCAGATGCTATAGAAAGAGAACAACAGAAATGCCCTATTGTATTCAATGTTTGGTTTGGATGATGAGAGTTCAGTAAAGGCTCAAGCAAGGCGCTGAATTTGGGGTGTATAAAGAAACAGTCAATAAACAGCCATTCACTGAATGAGGTAGAGGTTCTTTGGAAAGTAGTCTGTGATCAGATAATTAAGAACAATATCAGATTGTATGCACGTACAGCAGGGCAATTACAACTTACAACCTGAACGTCCTTATGGAGTAATTTCTGTATGTAATTTTTATGTAAAATGTTGTATGCTGTATTGTAACAATAATATAAATGCCCTCAACCTCGCAAAAAATTATATGGTTGTTCACTTTTACATCCCTGAGTAACAGTGTTGGATTTTCAGTTACCTCAGTAAAAATCAATGGGGATAGCGTTAAGCTTGTGCATCACTTTTGTTAGGATTTTGTCCTTCTGTGTTACCTTGTCCTTATTTATATTTTACAATAGATATACTTAACACTTTAAATATAATCATCTAGGTTGTCACACACATATATACTCAATAGGCCAACTATGTGCTTCTTCATTCCTTTCCTGAACAAATTCATTCATAAAAATTGTTCTTGCTAAAGGCCTTTTAGAATTACAATGGCTATTTTTTCATGTGAGTTTTTCGAATTTGAATGTATACTTTTTCCTCTGAATCCCCTGAATATTACCTGTCTGTCTTACAGAATTACCTTCTCCCATCTGCACTGGCAAAATAGGTGTTGTAACATCCATGTTCCCATGTGTGCCAGAATCTGGGTCCCCAACTTTGCTTTAATGCTGTTGCAATAGCTACCACTGCTGTTAGAAGACTACAGGAATACCCTAGAATATTGCTTATTGGAAAGAAAATATGGAGATTGGATTGTTTTAGAGGACACAGACATGTTTCCCTGATGTGACTAAGAAATGGTAAGTGTGAAAGTTATATCAACATGACATTATCTTCCAAATCCTGTTCTGGCTTGCAAAGCCTTCAGGGGTGAATATTTGCCAAAACTGGAATATTTCAGTCTATCACACTTGGGTTTTTATAATGCTAGCTGGAGTAATCAAATATAAACTCCTACTGGGCAGTATTCATGGATTCAAATAATTATGTAAGATCTGCTGCATTTACTGTTTTGGGGCCTTAGAATTTATTAGTAATATATGCAGCAAAGCAGAAGTTATATTATCTTTTCTGTCAGGTGTCAAGAGGAGTTTCTGTAGCAGGTTCCTGGCTGAGAGGAAATATTACAAAAGTGTCTGGTATCATGCAGTTAAAGGGCTGTGGTTGAAAATGCAAAATGAGTTTTTGTGCAGGTTATTCATGGTTTTCTAACACTGTGGGTATCCCAGTAAGCACAGTAGTAGACACCGGTATCAGTTTTCGTTGCACTATTTATTTGGAAAGTACAGGTGAGCTTTGAAAAATCTTTCTCAACTGTAAACCTGCTTTTCTGAGATTGGTCATCAACAGCAGCGTCTCCTGATATGAAGTACAAAACTCTCTTTGGAGCTTCACCAGGGCTCTGTTGATACCAGTGAATTGCAGCTGAATCGAAAGTTCCCGTAAAGTCATTAAAAATGCACTTCATGCGTGCAGTAGTGCCTACACTTCTGGTCGTAGACCATGGATTTTGGGTGAGAGTTACTCCTATAGATCCATCTAGAAAAGAAAGAGAAGAAACGGCATCATAAAACTAAAGCTGAATGACTTGGAAATTTGCCTTCTTTGCTCAATAATGAGCTCCAGTTAAAAAAAACACAGAAAGGAAAAATTACTTACAAGACCAAATTGAAGTCACTAAAAGAACCTGTAGCAGTAACATCTTGAGTAATGGAACTGAATCTGTAAGGGAGAAACAGGAATGTGAAACCAAGTGTCAAATGGAAAGAGTAGTGAAGTTGTAGAGAGGAAGTGACTCATATAAACAGCATCCAATGGCAGTTCTTCTGACGGTAGATGTGTGGGGCTATATTTTTGGAAGAGATAGATTGTAGAGTTAGGTGGTTAGAAATTGAAGGCTGTGGGTGTGCGGAAATCTAATCCACTGAGCAAACCGGGAAAAAATTGCAAATTAAAATGTTTTTGAGAAATCATGCAATCGTAGAAAGTTATGGTTGGAAGGGACCTCAGGAGTTTATCTAGTCCAACCCCCTGCTCAAAGCAGGACCATCCCCAGCTAGATCATCCCAGCCAAAGCTTTATCTATGTTTTGAATACCTCCAAGGATGGAGCTTCCACCACCTCTCTAGGTAACCTCTTCCAATAAAAAAATTCTTCCTAATATGTAACCTAAACATCCCTTGCTGCAACTTGAGATCATTGCTCCTTGTTCTGTCATCTGCCACCACTGAGAACAGTTTAGCTCCATCCTCTTTCAAACCCCCCTTCAGGTAGTTGAAGGGTGTTTTTATATCAGTCTTCTCTTCTCTAGACTAAATAAGTCCAGCTCCCTTAGTCTTTCCTCATAAGTCATGTGCCCCAGCACCCTCACCATTTTTGTTGCCCTCTGTTGAACTCTCTCCAATTTGTCCACATCTTTCTGTAGTGGCGGGGCCCAAAACTGAACACAGTACTCCAGATGTGGCCTCACTAGTGCTAAATACAGGGGAAATGTAACAGATTACAAAAATATTTTTCTAAATCCAACTTGTGACCTCTCAAATTTTACCCACAGACACTTAAACTAGGGGAAAAGCAAATGCAGTGAAATTTATATAGGTGCCTGCTACTGGGGAGTAGACTGCAAACTAATATTTTTTCTAGTAGGGAATCTCTTAGTTTTGGTTGCAGGTGTAGAGAAATGAGGAGATTATGTCTTTTGATTGTAAGCCCTCTTAGACTTTCCTGCCCCAAAACCACAGTCATTGAGCAACTGGCAGCATAGGCAGGATCTCAGTTTTGGACTAGAGACATGAGTCTGCCGTCTTGTCTCAGGTGCAGAAATACTCTGCTTCCTGTTGGCAGATGCATTCTGTACTGCTACTGCCCTCTTCTGAAATGCTGATTTCAGAAGACGGCAGTACTGAGGGCAGTGCACACACTGATCTTATTCTGCCTTTCAAAAAACAGGCTGTGCATTCACTAGCTACTTGAATGCCATATCGTCTCTGATGGATCAGGAAGAATCTTGTCACTAGATCACAGTGTCCATCTGTGGACAAATCACGGTGTACCATATATTACAATGGTTCCGAACCTTTTTTTGTTGCAACCCTAAATTGGCCACCAACAGGACCTCCTCACCCAGTGCCATGGGAGCTGCTGGGAGTGGAGTGCAGTAACGGCAGTAGCCTGGGGGCAGGGGAGTCACCATTGCCCCCTTTGTGCGCGGTGGCCCCACCCTGCCCACCTGCCCTCTGCTCCCAAGCTGCAGGCATGAGTGTGTGTGTGGACCCTTCGCGACCCTACTGAGGACCCCCCGCAACTCTGATTTGGGTCATGCCCCAAAGTGGGGAACCAATGGTATATTATAATTTGCATGGATTTTGATGTAAGCACAATTATTTTAATACAGTGGCCAGAACTCATCTACAGATTTCCAGTGTCCCATAACCCTTTTGCATCTGAAATGCTTTTTAATGTTCTGTGGAATAACAGAAAGACGTTTTGCTGCTGGGATTTGCAGACTGGAGGTGTGTCTACCCCACATCTTTTGTACTCCCAGAACCTCATTTGAAAACACCAGTCCTACTTACACATCAAACCCAAAAAGTCTTACTGCCTTGATGATGGACAGTTAAATTTGTTTCAGGATTTGTATGATGACATTTGTAGAGAAAACAATGGGAGATATAAAGAAGAACAAAAGTGGACATTCTTAACTTTCAACTGACTAAGGAACCAGAAAGCCAACTAATGCTGAACTAGCAGCCAACCAGTAACGTGAACAAAATAGTGA